ATTGCACATAAAATATACTTTAGTTGTAATCATAATTGTTAGTACTTTATTTATAACATCTATCATATTTACGAGGAATAACTAGTATATCGTTCCTTTCTAACAGAGCCTGCGTTGCTGGTGGCTTGCGTTTGAGCAAACCAAGAGCTGCAAACTGTTGTTTTAAACTGAAGTGCGTTTTTATTAGGACAATAAACCCGTGAAATCAAATAGATAGTGAGTAAATAATGTTTGAACAGTTAGTTATCCAATATGTTCTTTGAAAGGCTGCTATTGTTCTCATTTTGGTCTGTGGGAAATGAAGTGATGCCAAAAAAAAAAAGAAAAGAAAAGAAAGAAACAGCAATACCTGATTGTAAATATTGTCTCTGCACTTTCCCAATGACAATGATGTCGAACTTCTATAAGTCTCTGACTTTCGGTGCCGATAACTTTTTGAAAAAAAAATTGAAAGAAAGGAAAAAGAAACAAAGAAAGAAAGAAAAAACAATTCAAGGGGGAAAATAAATCAAAAGAAAAGAAAAGGAGATAGAAACGGCAGTGCGAAGACTAGATTTCCCACCAACCATCCTTTGTTTTAAAAATGGCATCGCTTATATAATATTTCAGGATTGGCTTTACTCGAAATCAAGTTAACATAGTTTTTTAAATGCAGCACATTGCTGCAAAACTGTTTCACGGGTTCATTGTCTTACTTATACTATTAATCTATTTATATATCATTAATCGATTATACCTTCTATAACATTAAACATCTGAACTTCAAGCAACAAGACAATGTACGAACAAACACAGGCCAGCTGGTTTGACAATGAACTCCTCTATAACGACCAGAAGAAATAATAGCGACCTCAACTATATCGATCGATATGAAATATGAATAGCTCTTCTTAGACCTTCTTAATATATCAGTTAGAAATAAGTTTGATTATCGACCGGAAAGAGCTCCTCTATAACGACCATAAGAAATAATAGCGACCTCAGCTATATCGATCGATATGAAATATGAATAGTTTTTCTTAATATATCAATTAGATATACGTTTGATTCACCGGAAAGATAACCAGCAAAGAATCCAAACGGTTGTTTTAGTTGAGCAGAAATTAATAAGAGATGAACGACTTTAGTCATGTTACTGTATATTTACCCCGCTTGGGGATGGGAGTCCTAGATTATTTTCTCAGTACCCAACAGTTCCAGGCTCCATCTCTAAAGATAACCAAGCCAGACAGTGATTAAGTTGATAAWAATAGATACTTAGCAACAATTACCTCATCACTTCATCCTCAACCACTGCCCCGCTTTCCTGTGAAGGCTCGGTTATGTTTCAAGATGGAGCTTGGGACTGTGCAATTGATTACCGATTAAAATAGGCAATGTGCAGCGACGCAAAGCATGATGGTAGTTGTAGTCCTCGTACTTTTTTACTTTTCTGTGTTTTGTTTACGCTAACAGTCCCTCTGAAGTGTTTTTGCTTTTTGTAAGACAACATAKATGTTGTTTTGCATTTTCTGCATAGAAACCGCAAAAAAAAAAGGATTTTAAGGAGATATTTTAGGGTCTATAACATAATATAGCATCATGCTTTGTTTCACAAAATGGCGTCCTACACATTGCCTATTGCATTTTAGTAGATGCATGCGCTATTTGGGTCGCGCAAAAACCATAAACGTTTTGTTGTGATTAGAAAAGAACTCTTCCTGGAACAGTTGTACGAATGGCCAGGAAACTTTATCATCTTCATTGATGTTTTTTATGGATTTCGTCCGCTGAATAAGTATTTGTCTGTTGAATAGCGCTATTGACACTTGGTACAACCGATCCTGAGAAAGAACTCTTTTAGGCAGACGAAATAGCGCAAGAAGTACGCCAACCTTTTTTTGCTTTAGAATACATGGTTTGTTCAGAAAAATTGCAAACTATTGTATGGACCCAGGGTGAAGTGTGAAAATGAAATACATAAAACAAAACACTTTGACAAACGTGTTACGATTTACCTTTTACTGGGCACTCAAAAGGCCCTTAGGAATATTAGTTCAACACTGATAGCAGACAGTGTACATGGAATACTCGAGACACTTAAAAATGTCCACATGAAGTATTTTACTTCAAAGGTTTACAACGACCATTAAACAATGACCCATAGTATCCCATGATTCTTGGCACTTGGTGGAATTATGCTCAAACTGAATAATTTGCTATTTCGAAAATTGTTAAATATTAACAAAACTAGTTTTTTTTCCCTGTGAAATTATAAATACCGTTTCTAATAAAACGAATTGAAATTCAAAAATATGGAAGAGGCTAAAATAAATTGAAATTGATTTCATAATAAATATTAATATGTTATGAGGCAACTACAATGGCTTGTTTATGAAGATAAATTCGAAAACAAGCAATATTTCACACTTGCCTGCCTTGAAAATTTGAAGAAACGAGGCAAAAAAATTTAAGTTTCAAGCCAAATGCACATTGAAAAAAGAGTTGTTTTTGTTTTTTTCTTAAACATTTGCTTCTTTTAGAATTACAAAGACGGACTTTGATATTGTTGGATTGAATCTTTCAGCTAGTTGCAAACAATACGCCATGATCATGAACCGGATCTGACGTAGTTATTTAAGACACGGCATAGACAGTAAGCGGCTACTCTTCACAATACATGCGCTACGCACACACTTGAGTACTACACCGCTGACCACAAGTTAGCAAGTCATTAACAAGCAACCAACTGGCGATTATCACTGACACAACAGTGAGACTGCCACACATTACGTCACAACATGACGTCACAACATGTAAGGTTACCAAGCTTTATTAGCTGATCATTTGTAACATATTATTAACACGCACCACAAATTAATCAGAGTTTGATGGGGGTAACCAAAGAAACGGCTAATTTTTTTCCATTCGTAAGCTATTAAAATGACGTCATTTTGAACAACTACCATGAATCAATGCGCACTTTACACATYATTCAAGTTACGTCATAATGCACGTTTGATATCAATTTGTCCTAAATTCTCCTATTCTTSAATTTATACGAAAACTGTTTTACTATTTCTTATTACTTTACAAATATACAATTATTTCGACAAATATATAAAATAGTACTTCATTAAAGCAAAATAAAAACCTAGCAAAAAAAACTTGCGAAATGCACAAACGGGGACTTCATTGGATTTCGTCCCATATATAATACAAGAGACTACATCGCTTCTTTTGTTATTATATTATACTATATTAGATATTATAATTATTTAATTATTTATCAGCCGCCGCTCGGGCGCGATATTAGGACTGAAAAAAAGGAGTGTTACCCCATCGAAATGAAACTCTGACGTCATTAGACAAGTTGACATTTGCAACAAACACGTTACTATTGATTGATCAACACGTCACGTGACAAACACATGACACGACACGTGATAGTATTATCCCTAAGTGGTCCTCCCGACCCACCCCGTGTTGTTAATGGTTAGTGGACTGGTAACTAGATACACTGCGGTGGCAGCACGACCCTCCCAGACAGACAGACAGACAGAGACAGACTGACTGACATGAACCAGGACTTGTCACTTGCACGCCTACCATGATTACACCTGACATTCCTCCCTTCCTGTCAATCAAATAATGAAAAGCTGGTTAARAACGGTTGCCAAAAMAAAAATAGTGAAAATGAAGACCGAAAGGTATCATGGTTACATTTMACATTCCTCTCTTTCTGTCAATCAAATTACGGACAGCTTCTTAGAAACGGTTGCCAAAACAAAATAGAAAAAATCTGATGGAAAGGTATCATKGTTACATTTAACATTTCTCTCTTAGTTTCTGTCAATCAAATTACGGACAGCTTCTTACAAACGGTTGGCGAAACAAAATAGTGAAAATTAAGGCCGAAAGGTATGATAGTTACACCTGACATTCCTCCCTTGTACTCACCCATTATGACTTCAGAAGGCTATACTCCATAGTTCACCGTSAGACGCTCACGAAGCGCCGCAGGAAACTGGTCAGAAAACCGTTTCCAGTTTTCCTCCCCAACTTGGTTTTTGAAGCCATGAAGAATCTGCAATGAAAATAATCACTCATTCAACTCATTCAGAACTCATTCAGACTGTAAAAGTAGTGCAAGAGTACATAAGACAGGCAGAAGAGGCATACGACATAGTATTTTGTAGATCCACAAAACCATTTTTTTGCATATTTCAGAAGAACGTCCAACTGATTATTGCTTTTTCTTACCTTGAGAAACATCTCCTTGAGATCAGGACTTGGATTGACCCAAGATGCCACTGCATCACAGAAAAATATCAAATCCTAGAAAAAAAGAACATTACTTCATTTGACAATTCTTTACGAATGTGCAGCCAAAATATCACTACAAAAGTTCCTACACCAACTCTGTTTGCTGAGAAACTTGCACTCATCATTATTCCAAGACACAGGTATGTAAGATAAGAAAGGATATCTTGAAAAGGATTATGGGACTTAAAAGGGTCATTAGGGGTTATAAGGTAACCCACCTGTACAACTCCTCCTGGGTTGGCGCTGATCATACTGCATACGCCACGGAATGCTGAATCCTTTTCCTCATTGTCCCGTATGTTACGCAATGACGTGCACCTAATTAGAAATTATTCACATATTTTGAATGATCTGTCCCGGATGTACATAAATAATGGGAGAGGAACTCCTAAGTAGCGTACAATCTCGAGCCCAGAGTTCTCACGTCTWAATGTCAGCGGTGACTTCCACTGGATAGCAAAAGTGCAGACTGTGGGTACSAGATTGAGGTAGYAAGGCGAACTTATTTCAACATGACCTAATTTGGTATTCTCGTCAATCCCATAATGCAACTCTCTCCAGGAGAGGCATAAGGTTATTAAACGAAAGGACAATACGGCTACAACAAATAGATCATTTATAAAAGGTGCTGTATACAGACAATGAATTGTTTTTTTATTTCCGTCGTATGAATGTGCTATCGTTGCCTTCATTAGCAGTGCAACAAGTTTGATCATTGATTAGTACATATGAATATGACATTTATCAAACATAAAACAAACAATRATGTTATTTATCCAAAATATACTGGTGCGAGATTGGCTAAGAACTAACGGTCAATCCTGTACGTCTTGACGTCAGTTGTTCAACAATTTCTCATGTTAATGCCACATTGAACAGTAAACCAGTTGATGTTTCCTCCGTTCACCAATTTCAATTCTTAACGACGCCATCAATGCAACAAGATGAAGAACTTATATTGGTAAACGGTTATCATTGAAGCATATGCCTAACATACCCTTGAAAACGAGTTTGCATTCTTACATTATAATATCTAATTAAGAAGCAAATTCACTCATATTTCGTTGCATAATGTATATA